CCAACTCGTCTAAGCAGGACTGACCGGGCTTTCTCATCGGCAGCTGGAGCAGCAGGACTCTGGCCTCTCCGTGTCCAGCGCACTAGATGGAGAGAGTTTCTGGGCTCACACAGTGTTCATTATAAATGTCCCCACTCAGCCTGGAGAAACTTGGAGTCATTTGAAAAACTAGTTTTTGGTTGCTAACTCTACTTTTCTTTTGTTCTCTTTGCTTGTTTGAATTTCACCGAGAAGATGTGCGTGTGCCTGGTGCGAGAGGAGGCGTGGAGACCACAGCACAGACAACTGCCACGTTTTTCCCCGGTGAGCACCGGTATAGGAAGAAGAGAAGACGAGGCCGGGGCTGAGGAGACACAGCTCACCCCAGTCCTCCGCTGCCCCTCTGCGGCACTGCTGCTTCTCAGAAGAGCATCTGTGGCAACGCCAGCACCCCCCGCCCAACCGCCAAGTCCCCACCCCACCTCCCCAAAGTCAGCCGTAGCTGCAGAGCTCCCAGCCCGAGTCTGATGCTGCAGACAAGACACTGGGATGTCTGCAAGTGACTTTGGGTCCCAACTTGACTAGGAGGAGTTGCTTTTTGCTGTTTATTTCCCTCAAATTAGTGAGTCATTTCACTCATGTGTGGCAGTTTTTGAACAACGCGGGTCTCTAACAGGGAGGCATAAGGAGGGAGGGGAGATTTCCACACCTCACCCAGGAGTGGGGTGCCCGAGCAGAGCGGCCACACTGACTTCTCAGCCGGCCGCCATGGCCTGCAGTCATGCAGAGGTGACCCTCGGGTCTTGGCAGATCCATGGGCTCTTCCCTATTCCAAGGATTAGAATCTGATGACCTACAAGTCTTCCTTAAAGGAATGCCAAATTTTTCCAAATGAAAGAAGATATATTCTTATTTAATCCTGTTTAACTCTGACAAGAAATTTTCTCTAAAGCTTAATAAAGTCAATAAATTTCACAGGGCTCACAACAAACCTTCCAGGCAGAAGGAGAAGGCATCAACTTTCAGGCAACTTTCCAGAAGGATCAGTGGGATGCCAATGAGGAGGGAGATGTCACATGACTGCAGTGTGACAAGGACCCAAGGGTCATGGCAGAGGCATGGGCTCCATGGTGTTGGGCATGAAAATGATGGGGGTATTAAGGCAAAACTGTATTTGCTTCTCCTGGGATCCCTGGCTTTCAGGGATTACAGGATTTATCAAGTGCAGGGAGAGAGGTTGAAAGGGAGAGTGAGGGAAGGATTGCGGGCAATGTTGATCCCCGTAGGGCTCATTGATGGTGGCCTGTGATTCCTGGTGTGAGGGGAGAGAGAGAGAGAGAGAGAGAGAGAGAGAGAGAGAGAGAGAGAGAGAGACTTTTGAGTAACCAGGGAGAGAGGAAAGAGACAGAGAGATAGGAGAGAGAGAGAAGAGAGAGGAGAGAGGAGAGA